TTAAAAGGGTAAGGATATATATCCATATCAGTGAACCATAGATTATAGGGTTTGTTTTGTAAACATGCACAGATATACCATACCAATTTGGGGGTGGGCCTCCCTTGTGGGGACCCTCTCTCCAGGGTAACTTAGTACCAACTCCGCAGTCCTGGAGGGTTGCCTCTTGTTCTCCAGGTCAAGCGCTGTCCCTGCCGAGTTTTCCTGCCGCCTGACTGCTGCCACCGTCCTGGCTTAGGGCCACAGGCACCGCTGTGTAGTGGATGCTTTGCCTTATGCTGGGGTTGGAGGCCTGGACAGCCTTGTGCAGCTCTGGGGCTTGGTCTGCTCCTGGACCCTCCGAGCTGTGTCATCTGTACTGAGCTACTGCCCCGTGTCAGCAGCTGTAGACCCGAACCACCTCAAGTGGCTCCCAAGGTCTCTCTCCCTCCGTGCAGTGCCTCTTGCACCGAGCTCCCAGCCTTGTTCCAGGGGTTGAGGACCTGAGCTGCCCCAGGGGCTCCAAAGATCCTGCTTCACGCACCAGCCTGTGCACAGTGTCTCTGGCCACACACCCGAGCTGCCTCACACAGCTCCCAGGGTCTGGATGTTGTGCGCTGTGCTGCACACCAAGAAACTAACCTCTGGAGCCATCCCGCACTGATAGAAGTCTTCAGGGGCTACTGCTTTGCCCTGCTGAGCAGCTTTCCTAAACCCCACTCTTCTCCATCCTCGATGCATCTGCCCCACGTGCTGGGCGCGCAGCTCCTTTTATATGCTCCAGGGCTCCGTCCCTGAAGTCTTCCAGACCTGACATTTCACAGTCTTCAATCAGGTCCAGGAGAACTCTTCTCCCCATCCCCTCAGGAAAGCGGCATGTTGTTATTTTTCTTCCTGCCTCCTGGATTGGTGGATAGGCTCCATCAATCAAAACAGCAGGATCTCAAGCCTGGGATTCAACCCATGCTCTGAAAGGTAAGCCTGGTACAATAGACAGTATGCTATTTTTTTTTTTTTTTATCCTTTAATACAAATCAGTTGTTGGCAGCAGCAATCCCCAAATTTGAGGATAATCTCTACCACAGTTCCCCATTAGGTCTTGAGGTGACCTAAGAGTTCAGTCATTGAGCCACAGATCCATTTGCAGAAGATGCAGGTCATTCTGCATGGGAGAGTAGGCTGTAATTCCTCTCCTTTTCCTTCCTCCTCTCTCTCTTCTCTGCTTCAAGGACAAGCTACTTTACCTCAAAACCAGCTGTTGCTTGGTTGATTTTGCAGCACCATTAACTCATTTACTGTTTGCTAACAGACTATAAAGTATAGCGCAGTTCCATGCTGTGTGTGTCAATAATTCTTATAAAGGAGATGTGGTAGCAGAACAACAAGGGTTAAAGTATCAGAGACAAATCTCTTGTTTTGTGTTGAGCCAGAAGAGCCGTCTTCCCCTCAAACCTACAGTGCGGGATATTCACCCTTCTGTTTAGGGCCAGCCAGAAGTCAGTGCAGTGCTCACATCCCATAGAAGCCTTCACACTATTAAATAACCCGTTAGTAGTAACAGTTGCTGATATTAGAGTTTAATCTATGGGTAAAAGAACCTTAGCTATTGACCATATCTTCTCAATTTTTTTTAATGTTTTTTAAAACTGATATTTATTTATTCCCTTATAGATGCAGTAATAATTTTGGACCATTATACAGAAGTATGATGCAGCAGTGCCCAACCTTTTTTCTGCTTGGGTCAGATGGGCAGTGTTCAATCCATGCATGGGCTGGATCTGGCCAGTGAGCCTAATCTAGCAAGCAGGGTGGCGAGGCAAGACCTGATCTGCCCTTTGTATGTTGGGAGGTAGGGGGATGGTCAAAGAACAGCCTGGTCCCAGTCAGTCTCCACAAGGGAAGACTGTGTGGACCAGCCCTGATTTGGCTGTACAGCAGGGAAAAGGGGTATGGCCCAAACCCAACCTGCTCCTGTGGGGCTTGGGACTTTTGCACTGAGGGAGGTGTGGCAATATTACTTGCTACTGCTCCCCCACCACCAAATTTTTCAACCCATGGGGAGCCCCACAGGCTAGATGCCATGTCTCTGCAGACCACATTTGGCCCCTGGGCCAGAGGTTGAACACCCCTGGTGTAATGCATTTGTCTTGTTTCTTGAAGATAACTTCAGTTGGAACTGTTCCCTGCTAGACTTAAGTTGTCCAAAAATATTAACAAGAGGAATAATTTTAAGTTATGAATAGAAATCTTCTTTCCTCTTCTGAAACACTTGAAAGTCTATGCTGTCTGGGTAGGTGTCACCAAAAACCAAACTTAACATACCACTATGGCTGCTCCATTTCACCTTTCTTAACAGCCTCTGTTTTAACCTCTGCTCTGCAGTCTAATCTGCATGCTAATCTGCAGTCTCCCTAGCTTTTTTTTTTTTTTATACCTCTTCACTGTTCTAGGGCAAAATGACTTACCTTCTCCAGCACATCTTTTATAGAGTTCAAGAGGTTATTGCAACCACCAGTTAACAGAACAGACTTCCTTAAAAGTCTTCCTGTCAAGGTGTTTATTGGTGCCTAATGTCCCTTCAAAATGGGGTCCCCTGCTACATTTACAATAAAATCATTCCAATTGGAGTTGAAACAAGTCTTTGTGTTGCATGACAAAATAATGCCATCAGGTATTTTCTTACGAGTCACATGAAGGCTTGAGTACAGTTTTAAAACTTCAACACTTGCACTTTTTATGGAAGATAGCAATCTTGACCCACTCGGATCCATCAAAAATAATCATTTTTCTTATCCCATCACACTGTTTTTAGCTCTCTCTGCATTCTTCCACTAGCTCCACTTTCTCTGTCATATCAAACATAAGTTACATCTCTTAACTTTCAAGGCTTCTCACTGTCTAGTGAATGAGACATGATGAATACAGAGAGACATTTAAGCAGTCAGTTCCTGCCTCTAACCAGACTATGATGCCAGTCACTATTGCCCGCTTGTTAAAATTTTCAAACCAAGCTCTCTCTATTTTCTCCCTTTCTTCCCATCACCCATGAGAAGAGATGCCCATAAGTATATGAAAAGCCTTTTAATTTAATACAATTCAAGTTTAATTTAAAATTTAAATCCCTCTTTAAAATGCTCTTTTATAAGAATGATTTCAACAAAAACTTTACAATGATCAGGTGACTGGTGTGTTGAGAATACCACCTATCACACTGAACAGTATTGGTTCATTATACCATTGAAAAAATCCTTGAAACCCCTCTGTTGTTTCTGATCTTATTCTTGTGTTGGCACCAAACCTAGTCTCTATTGACTAGGAATTATGGCTAGTGATAGAAGTTACACATAAACCAGTATAAGTGATTGGAAACCAATCTAACCCTGTAACAAAACAGAAGTTCAATGTGTGGCAGGAGGTTTGGTGCTCCTGCCACTTAAGAAGCAGGCAGGTTAGTACTGGTACAGCCTGCAGGTGTGGCCAGGGTTGATTATGGAGTCATCTGACCCTGGAAGAAGGCTTGGTTTAGGTAGGATATAAGCCCAGACCTGAGATAAGCCAGAAGTAATAGCTTGGAGCCTGCTGAGAGAACACCACCTCAGCAGGGTAGCTACAGCTCCAGAAGATCAACATGGAGGGTAACACCTAAAGCTGTCTGGAGGTTTGGGGAGGAACTAAAGGGAGAAAGAGGTTCCTAGGGACCCAGGGCGGGGTCTTTAGCCCAGATTGAGGGGCTGAGAGGGTCCAGAAACTCCAGAGGAGGGGCTAAGTGGAAGAAAACATCAGTGAGGATGCAATCTGGGAGGCCTGGGGCATGGTGTAGGGGCAGAATGGAACCATGAAATTAACCCATAAGGCAGGGACCACAGGCACCTAGTGGTCATTTGAGAGAGTAATATAGGAAGCCCTGGAGCAGCCTCCCTCCTATAAAAAGATATCACGGCATGGCAGGTGACTAAAAGGGGTGATCGCCCAGCAACTGAGGGCTGAACAGACTCCAGAGGCTTCATAGCCATCCCTGAAAGGACACCCTGTTATACTGTACACACAGACTGATTTTAAAATGGTGGAATCTAATTTAAGATATGATCTCTGTGATACGGGTCTATCACTCTAGCTAAACTGGCTGGCCTATCCCCAAACTGTCACAGAGCTTAGGCAGCAAAGCCTCTTCTCCCCAGCCCAGTGGGTAGCAACACAAGGGGCAGGTGTGAGGGTGGGACAGATTCCCACCCATGGGGGCCCATGGCACAGGCTTCCCCCCTTCACCCCATAGCCTGGCTCTGCCAGGACACCATTGCCCCATCCCTGCCCCTTGCCAGCCCCCTGTATCTCAGCCACTGGGGGGGGGGGGGCCCAGGGGACAGGGCCAGAGAGAGTGGTCTATTCCCCCCTGCCTGTCCCCTCACAGTTCTCAGCTGCCCTGACTTGATGTTATAAATTGAGGTTATAGGGAGGCTGCCCCAGGAGGCAGATGCCATTTTTGGGGTAGTTCCTGGTCTGAACTCAGGCCCTTCCAGGCCTTTGCTTACTTTTAGTCTGGTTGGGTCCCATGCCACTGTGTCCACCACACCAAGAGCCTAGGTTCTTGGGCCTCAGCTCCAGCTTAGCCCTCCTTGGGCCCTGGGCCACTCAGTCCCTAGGTACACCCCGTTTGCAAGCATAGTGTTTATTCCCCTTCCCCCCGCCCTTAGTCTTTGCTGCCAGATGCCCAATCCTTTGACATGTCGCAGTCCTCCCTTTTAAACATATTTGTGCTACTGCCCAAATACAACACCCCAAGGCTCTGGCTCCCAGGACTGCTCTGAACTGGATGTTTCTGTTGCACCCCATTCTCCAGTCTTCCCCTTACAGCTATGCCACTCCTACAGTTCAAATGCAAATCAAAAGTATGATCATCCAATTCCAAGCATAAGGCTTACCAAACACTGGGTCCCCTGTTGGGGTTAATGTTCACCCTGGGGTAGCACAAATGCAAAAGATTCAAAGTACTTATGTCACTCACAGCACAGGGTCTCTCCTACCTTTCTGCAGCACAGAATGAAGAAATAAGTGCAAGTGCAGGACCCTGCCCCTACTGCACAGTTCCTCTGCAAGGAGAAAGAGATCCTAGTAAATAAGTTAGTTTTGAAGTGCGGTGTTGCTTGATTCACAATAGTTATGCAAGGCTGCCTTTAGTGTAGAGAGAGCCATTGTGTTTTGGTTTAAGGCAATTGGGAAGTCTGTCATTCAGTAAAGTAGTTTCTTTAAAGATAATTCACATTGGGTGCATCTATACATGCTATTACTGTGTCCGAATAAACTCTACATAGTTCATGCTGGAGTTTATTGCTCCTGGGTGTCATCATATGGCCTCCCCAGGGATGGCTGTGATGTCCCTAGGGTACCATTACTATGCCAGCTCTGTCATATGGGCACCTACTAATGTCGCCCGCTGCATCTTGCTGGTATAAAAGTGATGAATTGGGATGCTACCCTCAAGTTACTGCTTGGTTACAATCCTGTGAGACTCCTCTAAACCCTGTGGGTTGTTGGACTCCTTTATTGGATCCGACATTCAGGAGGTGCTTTACAATGCCACCAAGCCTTATGGGCTAAATGCGTGACTCCAAAACCACCCCATGCCTCACAGATGGTATGTAGACATTATTTTCTCATGTTAAGGCCTCAGTAACTGCACCCTCTGGTGCTGGGGTCTACTCACCCCTTGTCTCTACGCCCTCTCTAGCACTGGAGCCTCCACATAGTAATGTACCCCAGATGAGGCCATCTCTTTCTCCTCCTCCCCAATAGCCTCAGGCTAGTGCACCAGTTTAAGTAACAGAAAGCACAAGTCCCTGCACTACAACACAACAATAACATAGGGTCTATTCCTTTGCAGAAGGCCAGCTTCTCTCTCATTTTAATGGGCCTCCTCCCCACCACCACTTATGAGCTCCTTATAAGTCCCTTAATCCTACCAGCATCAGAACAGACAATCAAGCATCTCCAAGTAGCTTCTACAACAAAAGCTCCTTCTCCCTTAGTTGCTGACAGAGAACTAACCATCTAGTTCCAGCCCTGGGGTTTATGTGTGCCCAAGGCCCTGCCTTCTTCTGGTCAGCTGACTGGGTGCAGGTGCAGGCTAATTCCTTTGTTAGCCCACTGCCATAATAGCCTGCAGCTGTGGGGTTTCTGCCTAGCTGCTAGGGCCCTCTCTCTTGGCAGTTTCTGCCCTTAGAGGAGCAGGTATCTTAGTGCCCTGCAACAGTGGGTGCAGCATTTACATGTACATCCAGAAGCACAGCACATTGAGCTGGAGTGGTACAGCCCCAGCTGACAGGGGGCTCAGGGGTTCAGTGTGCCAGCCAGGAGCCACTCCACCCTGGCTCAGTGTGCTGCAGAAGTGCTGGCTGGAGCATGAGGGTGCTACAATGCGGGGCTAGACAGCAGCCAGTCCCCATAATGTAGCACCCTCATGTCCCAGCCAGCAGCCAATCCCCATAATGTAGCACCCTCGTGTCCCAGCCAGCCCCAGTCACCATCTACTTGTGCACTGTGGTGCACTAAATAGCTTAGCCATACAATAGTACTTGTGTTGGGCCATACTATCCTAAAGCAGAGTTCAGTAGTTTACTGCAGCCTAATAGCGCTGCATGTGTAGAGGGTAATGCTTACTGCAGAGTAATTAGTCAACTATTAGTCAATTAACCTGAGCAGGGGCTCATCCTGTACTAGGCTGCTCCTGGAAATTTGTGGAGCTTCCACAGTATTTCTGGGGCAATTGCTTCCTTTCTTTCCCAGGCTTCAGGAAAGGTTATTTGGGAGTGGGGGTTTGCAGGTATGGGGGGTTACTTTTTCCCCCAGCCCCCCTTTTCCCATGGTTTCAGGCCATTTTTTGGCCAAACCACAGTTTTCCATGGCTTTGGGGGAAACACTAAACTTCAGACTTTCCCCTGAAGTCTGAAGCAAGCTGTGACTCTTGAGAAGAGACCTCTAGGGGCCTATTTGCTGTGAAGCAAAGTGTATTGTGGCAATTTCCTAAAAGGTTAAAACCTTACCTTTTAGCTATTTCTTATCATAAGTTGAGGAAGCCTAAGTGTTTTCTGCTTAATATTTTTTCTCCCCCTCCCCCACGCTAAAGATCAAATCATCAGCTGCTTATGGTTTCCTGAGCAAATTATGATACTTTCTCTTTAAAATGTTTAATTGTGTTGTCTTATTTATTATTGGTGGAATGGAAGGTGAGTTAACACTCTCTTTCTTGGTTTAAAAAAATATATTTTGAAAGGAAACCACAGCAGTGTAGTAAAAATGTATAGCCAATATCTAGAAAATTTAGTAGGGGGAAAATTTTAAATGTTAAATATGTAAGCTTAGAGAGGTTGGTTTAATATAATAGTGTTTCAAATATATCATGGTTGCAAGTTTGTGAGAGGTATAGATTTTTTTGAAGGTTTCTTAGAAAGTTGTTAACGTATGAGTTTAATCAAAAAATACCCTATATATATATATATATATATATATATATCACTTGCAAGGCCAGCCTTCCATGTTGTGCAGCAAGGCTTTAGAAGTGATTTCTAACCATTATTTCATGAAGTACTAGTGAGATTTTTAAGATGCTGAGCTAAATTATTTCAGTTTGAGTTATAGCTGCTTCAAATCAGTTTGTTACCCCTTCAAATCAGGCCCTGTGTATACTGGGCCTGTCCTCACATGCAATGAGGACATGTCCTCACATGCAATGTGCCCAGAAATAAAATGCATACCTTGTTTTTTAAAGTCAGAGTGAAGAAAAAAGGGCTCTTTCCTTATAGGAAGTAACTGAGTGACAACAAATAAACAGCCAAAACTACTTATTTTTCAGCTCTCTGTGGATTGTGCGCTGATTGACATTCATTTCAGCTCACAGAAGTTTACGTGGCAGAAACTTCTGCTACCATATCTCCTTGTTTCTAATGCACACCCTAATCTGCAGTAGCTTAAAAAACCCTGAACTTTGCAACAAAATATGGTATTAATTTCAACCATATGATATACCAGTTCACCTGTATCAGGATGAATAATGAAAAGCAGCAAAGTCTGCAACAAGAAGTGGAGAAAAAATCTATTGTATTCAGCTGAAAACAGCAAAGGGGGGGGGATTTTAAGCATGCATAGCATAGTACCCCACAGAAGAAACATTCTCATTCTCTTGCAAACAAGTATCACTGGATCTGTGATGATCAGAGGGGATGTGAACCTTTGGTTTCATACCATAACTGAAAGTTGTAGCTACCAAAAAATTATAAAGCTAACACTATACCATGGCTCAGTATGACCTCAGAGGGAAGAATGGTACTTGCTGAGTCACTGGAAATTTCCTGGGTTTTCCTTCCTTCTTTTTCCCTTACTTAAACTGTGAGATCTGTGGAGATGCAGCACCCGGTATCATAAGTGCAGAGAAGTGCTCAAAAGAAAAGATATTGTTTGTTTGTTTGTATGTTTGTTTGTTTTTAGAATTAATGAACACCTCTATTTTGATCAGGAAGTATTTCAGCTCAGGCTCCATTAGTGCTGGTGCTGCTCCATTACCAGCATCAGGTAACCAGAAATGCTACTGAATTTATTGAAGTGCTGAGAAATATCACAAGCAAAATTACCCTGCTCCCAGTTCCGCAACAACCTAAAGACCATTGATTACACAAACGCATCTTCTTCAAAATATTTGGGCAACTCGCAGACATTTGGTTTTTCCCTTAAAATTCTGCTTCTTAGAAGTGTTAAGGACATGTTTGAAATATCTCTCTCATAATGGGCCTCAGCCAAAGCTCAATAAAGACTTCTGTGAGTTTTGGACACAATCCAATAGGCTACTAGAGAAATTGCAAACACCTGTAAGAACACTTCTTAATACTGACTTCTGCATAAAAAGATAACTAAGTAGCATTTTCCATGTGCAACTTTCCATTTCCCAGTTGTTTTATAAAAATGAAAGTAGTTAACCTGTAATGACACTTTTAAAAATAAATTTATAAATTTAATTTGCTCACATGAGCGTGGAATGGTAATACAAAACGCTGGCTATAATACTTATTTCCCCCTTTGATATTGCACAGCCTCATGTTTTTGACTACTGCTAGATGCCAAGTACCTCTGAGCAAGGACATAAAAATTCAGGAGAAGTAAAGCGTCTGCCAAATCATGGTTGACATTTACACCATGTGGCCTAAAAACTGAAATGATAGTAAGCATTACACAACAGATTCCTCTCTTTATAACATGAGATTCTTTCTGAAGAAGGCTACAACCAATTTGCTAAGTTCAAAATATGTGCATATTGCTATTTTTATTCACAGGATACAGGGCTTGATCTTCAGGTGGTATATGTCACAACCCAATTAAGTAGTGCCCATGTCACAAGCAAGTAAAAAACCATTCAAAACAGTTTTTTTCTGCACTAGGTTAACTAAGGGTTAACAATAACGATAGTAACCGCTTTTTTGCTGCGCATGTCAAAAAGAAATTTATTGCTGCGCCACTAACAGAGATAAAAACTTTTGCCTTCTTTGCTTTACATAAATCATTATAACTGGTCAGAGTAAAACAGGGAGTAGCCCTAAAATAACACCCTAGCGAAACCGCTAGATAATTGGTGATTCTAATTAAATTTATGACGTGGCGAAAACCAATTGGCTATTACACAAATAAAACCCGTCTTCACTTCCGTGAAGAAGGGGAGACCTCCGCACACGCAACCTGGAGACCTCTGAATGTATGCGTCAGAGTAACTGACAATTTGATCACTTGTCAGTTCCCTGCGTCTCGACCCAATCTCAGACGTAAATCAACGACCTGCCGGCCCAACCTTTTCTCTGCCCGACCACCGAACTCTTATGCAGACCGACCTATGACCTATAAGCTGTAACTAACCAAGTATCTATGACCTCCGTCTTTCACCACCTTGACGGCGTGAGTAAATAATCTTGCTTTATAACCGATAAGCGTCTGCCTAATTATTTCCACTCCAAGCATCACAAGTACCTGCCTGACGGACCCTTAACTGCCTGGGTGGGAGTCAGGGAGAGCTGCTGGCTGGCTGCCCTGGGTCCCGACAGTATAAATCAGTATAGTTCCATCAATGTCAATGGGCCAGAACCTCAATTATGCATATTGCTATAGCTCAGATAAAGTCAATGAAGTGAATACAATTTATACAAGCTAAAGGTCTGGTCTCGTGTGTCTTCATTCATGTGATTCATTCATTCCAGTTGCTAAAGTGTCCCAGTGAAACAACACAATCTCTTTCCTGAGCATCATCCAATCAAAAATGTAGAAGTGGGAGTAATACAGTCTAAAATCTTTGAGTAATTTATACTTATTAGCAACTAGCCATGTTCTAGTTTAAGTCAGTTGCAAACATTCATTGACTTCAGCAGTTCAGGATTGTACTCAAAGGGCATATTATATTTAAGACTACTTTACAAATCAAGAACAAAACTCTGGCCTTCTTAAAGTGCAACAACACTATGGGGGAAAATGAAGTTTGCTGCTCCTTACAGCAGTGCGGAAGAGAATAGGGTAAAGTCAAACAGATTGTACTCTGTAATGCACCTTTTGCAATTCCAGTTACAAACTACTTACCCTGCTCTAGATTCACCCTTTGTCTACAAGAATGATTCTGCACTAATACAGGGGCATTGCTATTTTAATTCACAGGATGCAGGCCTAGATCTTCAAACGGTAGATCTTCTCCCTGCCAGACTCAGGCTTCTCTCTGGTCCTGGGCAGCAGCACAGCATAGGAAAGCACTGTTTTGCCCAGCTGTAGCATGACAGGGCAGTGGAACCCACAGCATCAAGCACCACTAAAAGCCCACTTCTGCAAGCCAGATTCAGGCTACAAGCCATGGGTTGCTGACCCCTGAATTTAATACATTCCTAATTTGAATGAAATGAACATCTATGACTAGTTAGTCAATCCTCTCATCCTCCAGAAAAGTTTGAGTATGTAGTGCCCTGTTCCCATTGCTGCATGCACACAAAACCAAGCTTGATTTACTGTAAATGCAGCCATT